CCAGAATTGGTTTCACAGTAAGTGTGCAGTATATCTCAGTCAGAAACCAAAGAGCCCAACATACAACAACAACAGCATAGCCTTTCAGTCCCAAGCAAGTTGGGGTAGGATAGAGTTGAAACCCACCAAGAGCCCCAAGTCACGGTTCAGTCACTTCAATAGCTGCTTTCCAAGCACTCCTATTCAAACATAGATCTCTAGGTATATCCCAAGCTTTCAAATCTCTTTTTATTGCCTCTCCCCATGTCAATTTCGGTCTTCTCTATCTCTCCTCATATTATTAGCTTGGCTTAGAACTCCACAATGCACAGGTGCCTCTAGAGGATATTCAGCAATTGGTTTCACAGTATCAGGATATTTTTCAAGAGCCTACCACACTACCACCAAAGAGACCATGTGATCATCACATTACTTTGGTTCCAGGAGCTCAGCCTGTGAATGTCAGGCCTTACAGATATGCACCCATTCAGAAGAGTGAAATAGAAAGGCAGCTGTCTGAAATGTTAAGAAATGGAATCATCACTAGCCCCTATGCATCACCAGTACTTCTAGTTAAGAAGAAAGATGGAAGTTGGAGGTTTTGTGTGGATTATAGACACTTGAATGCTGTTACTGTAAAGAATAAACACCCTTTACCAGTGGTAGATGAATTAATTGTGAGCTCACTGGTGCTAGATGGTTTTCAAAGTTGGATCTTAGATCAGGCTATCATCAGATTTGTATTGCTGATCAAGATACACACAAGACAGCCTTCAAGACACACAGTGGTTTGTATGAATTCTTGGTGATGCCATTTGGTGCACCTGCAACTTTTCAAAGCGTCATGAACAATTTGTTTGCTTCATTATTGAGGAAAGGAGTACTTGTCTTTATGGATGATACTTTGATATACTCTCAAACATTGGAGGAGCATTACTCATTGCTGAAGCAAGTATTTGATATTATTAGAAAACATCAGTTCTTTGTCAAGCTTAGTAAATGCTCTTTTGCACAGCAGCGCATAGAGTACCTTGGTCATTGTATATCTGCTGAGGGGGTAGCAACAGAACCAACTAAGATCAAGGCAGTACAAGAATGGCCTGTGCCTAAGAATATCAAAGAATTGAGGGGATTTCTAGGTCTCACAGGTTATTACAGGAAGTTCATTAGGCATTATGGGATGTTGAGCAGACCATTAACTGAACTACTCAAGAAAGGTGTACCCTTTGTCTGGACTCCTTCCACTCGGGAGGCTTTTGCTGTTCTTAAGCTAGCTTTGGTTCAGGCACTTGTCCTAGCAATACCAAACTTTGCAAAGCCATTCATTCTGGAAACAGATGCTAGTGACACTGATTTTGGGGCTGTGCTGATGCAGGAGGGGCACCCTGTTGCATATCTCAGTAAACCTGTATGTGCTAAAAACCAAGGGCTCTCTACTTATGAAAAAGAGTGCATGGCAATTGTGATGGCAGTAGACAAGTGGAGGTCTTATTTACAACATCAGGAATTTGTGATAAAGACTGATCATAGAAGTCTGTTATTTTTGACAGAACAGAGAGTTCATACAAAATTACAGCACAAAGCTCTGTTGAAATTAATGGATCTGAATTACACCATTCAATACAAACAAGGATCAACAAATGTGGCTGTTGATGCTCTATCAGATGCAACCCTGTCACAACTGTTTGTGCCTGGTCAGCCTGTACACCATCTTGGCTCTCTAATCTCATTGAAGGATATAATTCAGACCCAGAAGCTCTGAAGCTATTGGAGCAGTTGGCTATTTCCAATACTAATGACAAAGGTTATGCTCTCACTGATGGTGTAATTCGTTACCAGGGCAGAATTTGGATTGGCAACAATGCCTTGGCTCAACAACATGTTATTCAGTCACTACACAGCAGTGGTGTTGGAGGCCATTCAGGCTACCATGCAACTCTTCAGCGTGTCAAACAGCTGTTTGCTTGGCCTAAGATGAAAGAAGCCATCAGAAGTTATGTTCAGAGTTGTGAAGTGTGTCAGCAGGCCAAAACTGAGAGAGTAAGGCTACCTAGGCTGTTAACACCTTTGCCGGTTCCTGAGCAGGCTTGGTCGGTTATCACAATGGATTTTGTTGAAGGGCTTCCTCAATCCAACCGTTTCAATGCTATTCTGGTAGTGATTGATAAATTCGCGAAATGTGGACATTTTGTACCATTGGCTCATCCTTTCACAGCCCTGCAAGTAGCTCAGTTATATATGGATCATATATATCGTCTTCATGGCCTTCCCCAGGTGATCATTTCAGACAGGGATAGGATATTTACTAGTGCATTGTGGCAGAATCTGTTCAAGTTGTCAGACACACAATTGCACATGAGCTCCTCTTATCACCCACAGTCTGATGGCCAGACTGAAAGACTAAATCAGTGCTTGGAAGCTTACCTTCGATGTACTGTCCAATCTTGTCCAAGGCAATGGAGTAAGTGGCTGCCATTAGCAGAGTTCTGGTATAACACTAATCATCATACAACCTTGGGCAGGACACCGTTTAAAGTACTTTATGGGTATACTCCAAGGCATTTTGGGATCTCTAATACTGATGCCTGCCATCCATCTGAATTAGAGGACTGGCTCAATGAAAGACAGCTACTGAATCAGGTTATTCAGCAGCAATTAGTTTGAGCAAGTCAAAGAATGAAGCATCAAGCAGATAAGCATAGGTCGGAGAGGGAGTTTGCAGTGGGAGACATGGTCTATCTGAAGCTACAACCTCATGTACAAACTTCAGTTGCCTCTAAGTTTAACCAGAAGCTTGCTTATCGATATTTCGGGCCTTACAAGGTGTTGGCAAGGGTTGGCTCAGTAGCCTATAAGTTGGACCTTCCTGCTACGACTAAAATTCACCCAGTGATTCATGTCTCACAACTAAAGAAGCAGGTATCACCAGCTGTGGAAGTTTCTGAATATCTACCACCTGCCATTGACGTATCTGAAGGCTCTGAAGAGTCTGACTCTGTTGCTGCGGTGAAATTGTTGCCTGATCAAATCATGGACTTCCAGGTTGGTAAGAACTGGCTCTGCTACTCATACTTAACTGTTAGTTCGCTGGGCAGGATTGCCAAAGCAGTTGTCATCTTGGGAGGAAGCTTTTGATTTGCGCCGGAGGTTCCCAGATGCTCCAGCTTGGGGACAAGCTGGACTTGAAGGGGTGGGTACTGTCATGTGCCGGAAGTGGAACAGGAATAAGAAGGTGGCAGGTTAAGCTCTTGGGCCGTCGAACCGACTGGATAGCTGGGCCGTATAGCTTGTCTTGGGCCTGTGTGCCGACAGCAGGTATATATTACCCTGTAACTGAATGAGGAATCCATCGAACAGAATCTGTAACTGAAACCCCAACAATTCTGTCTGGACTTCTCCGTGAATGCTGTTCTTGCTGTTCCCAACCCTTCCAATCCTGTACCTCTGATTCCAATCTCTTGGAGCCTTCGTGCTCTAGTTATCGGTTACGTTACAGATTTCTCTAACAAAAAAATGAAGTACAACAGCAAACACTTCAGGGTTCTCCCCTCCCACACCAGGAAGTGTCGGATATCTATACCCGGGTATCCGAGCCAAAGGATTAATGAGCGTCACGTCGGCTCATCCGATAGTTAAGGACGCAACTGCCACCTCGTCCGACTCCGAGGACTAGGTTTCCGCCTCGTCCAACCCTAGGGGCCGGGCCACGCCTCATCCAACTCCGAGTACCCCAGGGGCCGGGCCACGCCTCATCCAACTCCGAGTACGAGGTTTCCGCCTCGTCCGACCCCCAGGGGCCGGGCCACGCCTCGTCCAACTCCGAGTACGAGGTTTCCGCTTCGTCCGACCCATAGGGGCCGGACCACGCCTCGTCCAACTCCGAGGACGAGGTTTCCGCTTCGTCCGACCCCAAGGCGTGGGCTCCGACTCGTCCGGTCCCACGGGGAGGGCTCCGTCTCACCTGACCCCCGAGGGTCATATTCCGTCTCGCCCGGCCCCCAGGGCGAGATTTCTGCCTCGTCCGTTCCCTAGGGTCGGATTTGCTATCAGACAAAAGCAGTGGCCCCAGGGTGGGACCCGAACCGCTTCAACCACTATGGCATGGAGGCGCACGCCCGAGAGCACGTCTCGGACGCATCCTGATGCAACTGGCGGTCGCATCAGGCCATGCTGGGAGACTCACGTCACCCACCGCGTCAACAGGCCGGCACTGTGCTGCCAACTCTCTGCCTGACCACCGTCCAACGTCAGTCAACTGGCGTCAGTTGGCTGGCACTGTACCGCCAGCCCCCCGTATGGCCTCTGTCAGGGGGACCCTTTTGACCATTCCGTCTGCTCGGATGGGACGGAAGACAAGAACGGCGCACGACTCCCACACGTATGCTGCAGCTGCCAACAGGACCCCGGTGCGATGCCGCTGCCACCACGATCTACAGGGTCAGCGGGACCCACGCGAAGAGGAGGACGGCACATCTCTGGGAGCCTTATTTCTCTTTCTTTTTTCTTCTTCCCTTCGGCTGTAACCCCTGCTTTCCCTTCGCCTATAAAAGGGAAAGCAGGGCGTCCCAACCCGGGACCGATTCATCGAGCAAGTACATCACACAGCATCGGTTCACCGCACCGTATCAGACACCGAGCAATCGAACCACAGAGACTTGGGAGCTACCTCCCTCTCTCGCCAGTTTATAACCCCCTACTACAAACTCAGTGCTGATAACACGAGCAGCCCGAAACTAGACGTAAGGACATTCGGCCCGAACCAGTATAATCCTTGTGTTTTCTTAGCACACCATCCGAGCCAGACGCGCAATATACAAATTTATTCGTTGGTGTTTACTCAAAACACCGACAGGAAGCATCAAATTATGCAAAGAAATTCTACTCAGTGTAGAACCTAACTTAGAATGGCATGGTTAGTTTTATTAACAACAGAACCAGTTAAACAACAAAGTAGATTCGGTCCATCTCAAAGCCAAACTTTGCAATCCATCAACCGGATGTCCATGGAACAGAGACCTCACCTCCGTAGCACCCGGCGACGATGGCGAGGTTCGCGGCGTAGGTGACGGCGGCACGGGCGGCGCCAAGGCGCACCCGGTGCCGCGACAGCAGCCCGAACGCGGCTCCAACCATCCCTGCACAGCAACCGAATCGACAAAACCCATGGGATCAGGAACGCCTGCCCAGGGCAGGACCTGACCCGAGAAACGCAAACGAGGCATGGGAATGGGGGACGGCTCACCAGCCACGACGGCCGGAATGATGATCCGTTCCCTCCAGTCGGCGAGGAACGGATCGGTAGTTTCCGGCGTCCCTGAGCCGGCGGCCTCATCGGTGGGAGCAGCCATCCTCGTGTCGGCGGCGCCGGCGCCGGCGGTTTTTGACCCGCGGTGACGGAGCACGGGTTGAGTGTTGGAGATTCGGGCTACAAACTTGCGTGATTCGGCCCGCTGATCTGTTAACTGCGATGGGCCATGGCTCATGGGCTGGGCAAGGAGGCTTTGCTCGAGCGAGCGAGGAGGCACGTGGAGACACAAAGGTGGAGGTAGGGATGAAAACGTATCGGATACGAACGGATATCATTGATATTATATTTATTTTTATATTTTTGTCCGGATTTGGATTCAAATACGAATAGTGTCAATCATACCGGATAGGATACGATTAGAGTGTCAATCATACCGGATAGGATACGATTAGATATCGACATCATAAATATGCGATTTGAGTATTCGGATACGGATACGGTATCGGATATTGAATATCTGGACTTGGATACGGACATATTTAAACCTCTCTGAACGGATTCGGTCTCGAATATGGTCGGAAAATACCCGTACCATTTTTCACCCATAGGTGGAGGCAAGCCCACACACTGCTCTTGGATGGATTAAATAAATAGGATAGAGGATGAGAGATGGGCGGAGCTCAAAGGGGGAAAGATAGGAATGACGAATGTTGCCATGGATGGTTACCGATGTTGTAGAAGGGTACGACGAGGAGTGTGATGGACGACATTACTCCAGCCTATGATTCATGGTACCAACCTTCGGTAATTAAGAATTCCAAAAATCCAAAAATCAGATTAAAAATAGAAAAAAAATCTTTCTTGAGAAGCGACGGGTACCTCCTCTAACCGTTGCACCCTAAAGTCACATGTGAGTCTAAAGACTTATTTGGTAGAGCTCCACCATTAAAAAAGTGAATCTGGATCTGAAATTCATCTAGATCAACCATGGACCTGAGACTCACTGAAGTGTTTGGTACAGCTCCAATGTTTCTTTCTATCTCACCGACACTTGGCCCCATGCGTGGGTTATGAAAGAATAGAAAAGAAGATAGACTCTTCTTGTTCCTCCCGACGTCTGGTGCACGGGAACTCACGGCCACGGCGGGAGAAGCCCTGGCGGCCTCGACGACACTGGTACAGGCAGGGCAGCGTGGGGCACGGCGGTCCTCCATCTCGTGCGCGGGGCATGACGGTTCCCGTGGCCGCCGCCGTGCTTGCGCAGTCACGTGCGAGGTAGGGGCTGGGCTCGCGGCGGACCCTTGAAGTAGGGTGTGCATCAGGGCCGCTCTTGCACGGCAACGGCACAAGGCAGGGGCCAGAGCTCGCGAGGAAGAGAGAATGGCCGAGCTCCCGTGCCTGCGGAGAAGGGATGAAATAAGAACGAACTATTTTTTTCCCGTGTAATGGTGGGTAATTTTCTCTAACTCCTTAAAATTTGGATTTGGTGTAGCACCCTTTGAGGTGGTCCACCAATTTGATGAATTTGGGGGGTAGATCCACCATTTTGGTGGATTAGATCCACGGTGTAGCTGTTGGATCAAAAAACGATTGGGAACAAGAAAGTGAATCTAGATCGAGTTTTGGTAAATCTGGAGCTGGTGGAGCTCTTCCAAACCGGCTCTAAAGGGCATATCCATTCCACTCGTGTTCATACGTCGAGCCGGTAGTTGTGAGGAGTCCATCATCACCACTGGTTGGTAACACGAACAGGCGATGATAACCCCATCACTGTCGACTCTATTTACGAACCGGCGGTGATGTTAATAAATCCTGTGGTAAAAGTGTTTTAGGGAATGAGTAGTGTATGGCAAGAACTTATAAAGAAGTACCTAAAAAATAAAATCATTGATGATGTCTATTGAAAACCAGGAGATTCATTTGATCGGGCCTTATGAAGGTTATAGATCGTTTCCTGGAACTTTCAAGTTTAATCTTCGTAGTTGACAACAAATTAGCTTTTGGAAGGACAAGTGGTTAGGGAACTTTACTCTTAATTAAAGGACGATACCCTTCCTTATACAATATTGTGAGGAAAAAATACATTTCAGTTGCTCATTCATTTGGTAATACACCAACCAACATTAGCTTTCCAAGGACATTAGTGGGGACAAGTTATTTCAGTGGGATGATTTGGTTGCAAAAATTGCAATGCAATTAGATAACCAACATGACTGTATCAAACGGTTCCCTACCGGCCCCGTTCGGCTTACCTAGAAATTGGCTTGTTCGACTTGTTTTTTCAGCCAGAACAGCATAACAGTGTTTTTCTCTCACAACAATTCAGACAGAACAGTGTTTTTCAGTCAGTTTCAGCCAAGATTCAGCAAGCCAAACGGAGCCAGGTAAACCAAACAACTCTACCTCTAAATAAATTTATTTGAAAGTTAAAATTATCCCTAAAAATTAAGATTTTTTGTTTGGTTCATAAAGAGAATTGAAAGAGGGATGGTAGGAGTTGTTTTTCTACAACGAAGAGGCTATCCAACATTTATTTATTGATCGCCATCACTCAAGATTTATTTGGAGAGTTGTTGAAGTAGCTTTTGGTTTACGTTCACCGACCAGAATGGCAGATTTCTTATGAGTTTGGCTTCAACAAGAAGACACCAAACTATGTTCTTAGATTTGTATAAGAGCAAGTGCAATTATTTGTCTATCTCGTTGAACAGAAATAATGTGGTCTTTGAAAAAGAAAAAGAATATATTCTTATTTCAGGTTATTTTCAGAGCTACGTATTGGATGCGATTCTGGACCATACTCTAAAAAAAGTGTATATCAAGCTTAAAATGAGAATACCATGCTTTAGAGATGCCGGCTTGATTCGTCAAGTATGGATCGTTGGAAACGGCGGGCTTTGACTCATCAAGTATGGATGGTTAGTCACCTAATAGAATTACTGTCTACTCCCTCCATCATAAAATAAATACACATCTCGTTTTTCGAAGAGTCAAACTCTCTAATCCCTACATCTCACTTGTTAGTTTTGCTTTTTAAGAGTATGCTTTTATAGTCAAAAGTTAAATATGTAATAAAGATTGATTATGTATATACTTCCTCGGTCGATAAAATAATACAATTATAAAATTTGTGTCGGTCAAACTAACTTAAGGTTGGCAAGTTCATAGTAAATATTATTAGTATTTATGTCTCTAAATAAATTTATTATGAAAATGTATTCTATAACTAATCTAATGGTACCTAGTGCCTATTTGGTTGATGGCGTCCACACCTGACCTTCGCAAACTGAATGCCGTAAAAAGTATAGTGAGCAAAATCGAAGCCATGCTTGTAGCAAAGTTTGGTACGAAAATGAGTATATGACATATGTGACATGATACTAAGAAAAAGTGTGGCGTGCCAATAGTTGTGGCAGTGAACCGAATAGCTGTCGAAAAACTATGGCACGGTCAACCTTTAGAGTGGTTAGTTTTGGTCAATGAACCAAACGGACCCTAATTTTGTACCATGAATGTTAATACTTTTTTAATTAATTTTTTTTAAAAAAATAATTGGTTGACTTCTCTAAAAATAAAAATTATATTATTTTATAGATAAGGAGTAACTCACAAGGAGACCGGAATAATTTTTTTCCAAAAAAAAACTGGGAGAAACAAAAGAAGTCGGATCCAACCACAGTGCCTGTTTGGTACCGTTTCATCAGCCGCTTCTCCTGTGCGCCAACCAAACGCCCCCAAGCCGCTCAGCTTTGACAACGAAGCCCTGGGATTTCCGCAGAGAGGAGCACGAGGGAGGCGAAGCTGGAAAAACCAGCTTGACCCAGCTTACTCTGACACTGGTGGGACCAAGGGTGGCCATGGGATCTTTTTCCCCCAGCTGGGCGGCCGGTGTGCTGCACGGCCAGACGAGGCGCGATGGAGGTGGAGAGGTAGGACGGGAGGGGAGGGGGAGTGCGGTGTGGCGTTGCGCTCGGCGGCATATGGTGGCGCTTCGCTCGATGGCGGAGCAGAGCCCGGCCGCCGTTGGGGCGGAGAGCAGAGCCCGCTGGCGCTGCGACGGGGGCGGCGACGACGACGGCGCCAGGGGCGGAGAGCAGAGCCCGGCCAACGCTGGGACGGGGGCGGCAAGGATCAGTGGCGAATCTAGGATTTTGTCTAAGGGTATGTCGTCCAAAAATTTTCATATACAATTCGGTAAATCCATTTCAGCAATTCGGTAATAATTGTAAAATTGACAACATAATTCGATATATATGCACTAAATAACACAGTAAGGCTGAAATTCATTGATTAAGTTCAAACCATCCATTAAGTATAGTATAAATAGTTCAAAAGCCACACCGATAATTGAAATAAGGCATAAAAGAGAACCAGAGACTTACAATGATATTTTTATGACTATTTTATTCGATGCTTTCGAAGGGACATAAATGTATTGATTATATTATCTTCATCAACTTCAAAAAAAAATATCCCGCTCAATGAAAGTGACTAGACAGTCATCCAGAAGACTATCTCCCATATGATTTCTTAACTTTGTTTTCACAAAAACCATTGCAGAAAATACCCTTTCAACACTTGCCGTTGTCACAGGTAGAAACAATATCAATTTGAGGAGCTCATAAACCATATCATACACTTTGTGCCTCTTTGTTTCAACCAGCTTAACTGAGAGATCAACAATATTTTCTAGACCTTTGAATCTATCATCCTGTCTCACGTCATCAATATAATTATCTAGCTGCAATTCAAGTTTGAGTAAATTATTATTTGAGAACTCCTTTGGGTAGAACTCAGCTAGTCTACGTAGCTTCTGTGTATCAAAAGAAGCAAATGACTTAGAAGGACCGAAGGCTGACATATAAGACAACAACTCCATATTAATATCATCAAACCAATTATCAAGTTCTTGACTTATTTGATCAATGACACCAACATATATTTCTCTTCTAAAGTGGTCATCATTGGTTTGCTTTCGGGCACGAGCTTTCCTTGCTGATTTTCCATAAGGAACATAATCACCATCCATAGCAGGAACTTTAACACCATGTTTATCGCAAAATGAAGTGACCTTCTCAAGAAAATTATTCCAACCATCAG